GAAAAGTCCAGCAAATGCCCGAAGTTGTATGGTCTTCCAAAAATTCACAAGACGGACGTTCCACTTAGACTAATAGTGAGTGCCATCAACTCACCGACACAAAATCTAGAGTAATACTTATCCAAAATCATGCAACCAAAGACGGAGCTGGCAGAATCTTATGTGAGGAACTCAGAGCACTTGGTGGACATCATTAAAAACAACAAACTAAACGACACCGACATCCTTGCCAGCCTAGAAATAAAATCCCTCTACCCGAGTATATCCATAAACGGAGCCCTAGCCACCATTAGAACTGATCATAGCTTTCCGCAACATGTCACGGATCTAGCAGAGCACTGCCTTAAAAACACCTATTTCATATTTGACAACCAGATCTATAAACAGGTAGAGGGAGCTCCGATGGGTTCCTCCCTATCGCTTGTGATCGCAAACCTGTTCATGATGCACTTCGAGAAAGAAGCACTTAACAACGCCCGCCTCAAACCAACCCTGTGGAAAAGATATGCAGACGACATATTCATCATCTGGCCCCACGGAAAACAAGAACTAGACCGGTTTGTGACCTACCTGAACAACATCCATTCCGGCATCCAGTTCACTACCGAAAGAGAGGAGAACAGGCAGCTACCTTTCCTAGACCTACTAAACAGGGCAACAGAATTGAGGGAGACAACAAAGGCTCTGCGACAAAATGGCTACGGACCAAAGATCATTCAAAAGGCCATCGACAGACAAAGAAGAACCAAAAAAACATCCACTAGATCGACAGAAGACTCTCCACACGACAGACAATCTGTGACACTACCTTATGTCAAAGGTGTGACCGGCAAAATCGGGAGAATACTGACCCACTCTCCTAGTTTTTTGACTTTTCCAGTACGTATTGAACCATCAAAAACCACATGGAACCTGACCTCCAGTTCTTTCGCTATCTCACACACCATTTTTGTTGGGTCAGTGTCCACGAAAGTCCTCGAATCCTCATCCTGAAATACTGTGCTCCGGGGCTCATCCTCGAGGCTAAAATCCCCGGAATAGAATTTTGCAAACCAACGTCGAACAATACGTTCATCAACACTCTTATTGGCAAATGCCAGCTGTTTTGGCAGCGCATTAGTTCAATTCAAATCC